AAATGGCCGATGTTATTGTTATTTAAGTGCGTCCAAACACAAAAATTGATCGAATTTCGCGTTAGCCGCACGCACTTATTAGTGTGTCCAAGATGGACATAGCTCCATTGCCCACACTTATTTTAAGTGCGTCCAAAGGTAAAAAATGTTTCTTGCCCAAACTTATTTTAAGTGGTATTTTCTAAAAACCGGAATGGAATCAACTTGCACGGCGAGTGGCACTTATAAGTGTGGCCAAGGGAAAAATTTAGCACTGGCCACACTTATACGCCGTGGCTATTCTTACGACCAGTCGTAACAATTATTTATGGACTATTCTTACGACATGCAACGCATAACGCATAATAGTTAATAGTAATATAATGCTAGTCTAGGCAGTCGCCTATGCCTACTCCCTAACCCTAACACTAACTATAAACCGACTCGGCTTTCTTATATACGCGTGTCATAGTACAAAAATTAATCTATTGTGTATAACGACATACGCAACGCATGCTCATGCGCGTTGCATGATCAAAATAAGTGTGGCCAAGGGAAAAATTCAGCATTATCCGCACGTAATCAAAATAAGTGTGGCCAAGGGAAAAATTCAGCACTAGCCACACTTATAAGTGCGAATAGTCACTTCCATTTAAAATATAATATTGAATAACAAGTCATTGAATTGTCAAGGCAATAACAAATTTTGTCTCATGAAATCAGGATGAAATAGTATTATCTGGCTCATGGTTAATTTTCGGGCCTATTTTCACCGTTTTAATAACTAATATTACCAATCATTTTACACGTGCAAACTACCTTACTGTAACCGTGTAACGAGAGGAAACCACGTCTTATTTGTGGTATCTGGACATAATTTTGTATATATGGCGCTTTTCACCCAGTTCTTTGCGTAAGTGGTAAATTAATGTATAATATTGAAACAGGAATTGCACATGCAACTATGTATCATGAAATCACGAGCTAATAATATTACTAGCTCTTGATGAAATGTTATTTGTAATTATTAGTAAAAGGCCCGCAGCTAACTTACATTGGTATCATATGTAGAGTGCAGAGTATGTGCTATGTCAATTTGCTCGCTTTGCTGTATTTCGTTCAGCGTTGTATGTGCCAGTAAAAATTTAAGCATAATATGTTGTCTACTAGACGCATACTGAATGGCAGATAATAATAAAGCACTTGTCACTGATAGTGTTTAAATATAAGTTAACAAGACTTTACTGTTTATCATTATACTTTTAAAATATTATTGTAGAGTAGGCTGAGGGTTTGCTGTGTTCTGGCAATGTTTAAAATACCCAGACCAGATCTATCCTTCTTAACATTTGCCATGCAAATTGTATATATTGTACAGCACATGTATGTAAATGTTTGCAAAACACTAAAGACAGCTCTGTTTCTAAAACCACGGGGCATGCAGCATTTGTTTTGCTGACATGCGGGTGAGCTGATAATTAATGCTTTATGCGTAGATATTTTAGTGTGTAAATATGCAGTAGGATTCTAATATCCGTGTAAACTCCATGATATTGACACTAAAGACGAGATAGGTTGGTAAGCAGTAAGCAATGAATATTTATTCTTTATAGCCTTCTGTGCTAACTGCAACCTTTTACGATTTTATATACAAATACTATTGGCCTAAAATAACGCATGCGTGAGTGTGTGTAATATATAAACGGATATTTGCGTTTGCATGTACAATATAACCGCAATAAATGGTACCAGGCTGTACGTACACTACATGATGGTGGTACGTCATGGAATGAGACCAAAGAGAAGAACACGTCCTGGGTGTAGTGAGTGCAGTGCAGTATAATCCTGCCATCTGTCCAATAACCCTCGTATCTCATCACATGTTTACTTCGCGCACACTGATACGCACGCACGCACGCACGCACACGAACACGCGCGCGCACGTAGTCACTGGCATACACCAATGTACGCATACATACATCCACGTGCGCACACACGCACGCACGTATAGGCCTACAACGAAGTGACACTGGGGCGTAACGGAGTAATAAACTGTGTCGTCTCGTACTGTTTTCAGCAAAATAATCTGAACTCGTTCCTGTGGACAATCAAGCGCAACCCTCCGTCTTACTTCTTCGGTACGATCCACGTGCCGTACACGCGCGTGTGGGATTTCATTCCGGAGAACACGAAGCAGGCGTTCGAACAGAGCGAGAACGTGTTCTTCGAGCTGGACCTCACCGACCCCTATACGATATCGGCGCTCACGAGCTGCCAGATGCTGCCGCAGGGCAAGGAGCTCTCCGACGTGCTGCCACGGGACCTCTACCTCCGCCTGAAGCGGCATTTGGAGTACGTTAAAACGATGATGCCGTCGTGGATGACGGCCGACCAGCGCGGCCAGGGCCTGTACGCCGACTACCTCTTCAACGCGATCACGGGCAACTGGGAGCGCAAGCGGCCGGTGTGGGTCATGCTCATGGTGAACTCTCTAACGGAGAGCGACATCAAGTCGCGCGGCATACCCGTGCTAGATCTCTACCTCGCCCAGGAGGCGGAGCGGCTGAGCAAGCGCACGGGCGCCGTGGAGATGGTCGAGGAGCAGTGTGTTCCGCTCAACGGGCTGAATTACTCGCAGGTGAGGCGCTTTTTCAATCAATTAATAAATAAAATAATTAAGTTTTAATTATTCGATTTTTCGTTTTTTTTGGCGTGTGGGCATAGATGGGTGTTGGGTTTCGGTTTGCTCCCTCAAGTGCGAAGTTCGTACTAGCTGCGGTGGTCTATCTGTAACGAGTGTAGTGAGTCTAAAGCTGAAGCAGTGTTTGCAGAAATAAATCACACAACCATGCTCTGTAAAGCACGCAATACCTGCGTTATCTGTGCAGAATGTTTGATTGGTGATTGGATGTGAATGCGCGCGGTAGATGAACGAATGTGATTGTAGGACGAGTAAAAACTTGTACTAGAATGGAAAACCATCAGGAACAGTGCGAACATGCAATGAATAGGTTGGAGACGGCCACTGCTCGCGTACGTGGGGATTAGACGCAGCCACACCGCAGTTACTACAATGCAGGTACATATATGTTGTCGTGAGGAGAAAAAAGGACGCAGGGTACGTGTCATGATGAATGACGACAAATTTGCTAAGTTAAGAGCAACAACTTTATGGGTGCTGCGCGGGTCCCTCGCTAAGCAGATCAGTGACAGCTTTATGGTTTTATGGGTCGACTGGTTCTGGACAGACCCGACATAGAGACCTGACAGACTCACCGCAGTTGCTCTACTAGGAAATGTTGGGTCCTGCGAGCAGACTTGAATATTTACTGGGGGAAAAAATGGATGGAAACGAGTGAATCTCTCGCATTCTTGCTACTAATACTAGACTAACTATTAAAGTTAGTTTGATACAGAATCAATTCAATGAATTTTTTGTGAAAAAGTTGAGTAAATTTATTAACGTATGCATGTGGCGCATATAGATTTTAGTATGATATTTTAGTAAAATATTGAGACTAATTTCAATTTTAGCTTTAAGATCTGGATCTTCTAAATGTCACCTAAATTACCTAATCGTCGAGTATACATTTACAAAGGTGTAAATATAGGTTTACTGCACTGTATATTAAGCTAAGTGGTGCTGCTAATCCCCCTCTCTAGCAGAACTGTTTCGCATCTTTGTAAACCTGATCGTGTTTGCTTACTGTTGCACTCGATCTTCGAGTGCTCACCGTGTTCGCGATAGAGATGTACATGACTTCGGTTTAATCCCGTAAAACCGAGTGCTCGAAAAACAAACAAGCAAGCGATTTTGCTCTCTGAGGCATTGTCGGATGCGCTTTCAAGGGTTACGGTGTGGCGTTACATTGCACGTACATCTGCGTGACCACCCGATAGAACTGAAAGAGGATATTTTTCACTTTTAATCTTGCGACCACGGTCATGGGTCACGTTTCTGCCAGACGGTGCCTTGTTAAGTCTGATGTTTACTTAGGTAATCTTAAATCAGACAGGGTGAGAACAAACCACACGCATACATGTATCGCGCGCATCGAGTGTCCCTCATAGATGACGTAAAGGTATTGTATGAATAGAAGTTCAACAAACCATTGTAAAATAAAAAAGTTCTTGCATCATTACAACAATACATCTAAACCAATTTGAGTTTCGTTTATCCAGGCATATTCGCTTACTTCCAGTGCCACCCATCCATTCATATATCAGATATATATATATATATACATACACATATATATATATATATATATATATATATATACATACACATATAAATGTGTGTGTGTCCTTTGCTATTGGAAAGAAATTGTAGGGGCAGCGGAGATAGTGTGAAACGTGCTGCGTATAGCCATGTGTGGTGCCAAAGTTCTGCTTCGGACTAGCGGGGAGTTTATTAACAAAGCTAATTTTCACTCTAAATGCTATAAAAGGACCGCGTTGTCCATTTCCAGCGTGTTCGTGTGCCGTAGAGCATCTGCCGTCAGGTAAATAAGCCTAAATACTGCCCCTTTGTGAGGCGTTAGGGCCAGGTAAATACTCCTGCGCATTCTCCCCGTCCGGCGCAGTAATGACTAGTAACGATGCCAATGTGATTGTAACACCGTAACGCTGTTGGTCTAGCCCGTAGACGAGTAATTGGCCGTCCGTAAACAAACCGTCGCTCCGGCAAACAAGAGAATTTTACATAGCATGAGTGAAACGAACTCTTTTGCTAAACACGAAGGCGCAAAGAAAACAGCTGGCCTCCGCTGCTCCTTTTGTCGCTGCGGTTTACCCAGGATAGTGAAAAGCAGATTGCTGGAGTGCCTGAGATTCCAGATTCCTGAATCCCATAGATCGTAGGCCCACAGTATAAACACACAATCTGCGCCGTATATGGACGTGTTGATGTTGCAGTTAGTATTTCAGCTGGTCAGCGGGAAAATCGCCACAGGAATCCATTTGGATTGCTTTACAAAAGTAAAACACTGAACAGAGAATGTCTTCATTGGCAATATTAGAATTTATTGTTTACAGCTAACCAACCAGAACAAAGTGTCTCCGTAACGTATACGTTTATTTAATCATTCTTCTTTCCTCCATGATGAGATTTTAGGGTTAATGCTATAACCATCTACAGGAAGGATAACAGAATGTACAAACAAATAGGGCAGTGGGTCTATTGCAGTTATAGCAGAGACGTGGGAACGAAAACGGGTAATGATGATTTGGCTACCGGCTCGAATCTTGTGAATACACCATACATATATGATTGACAGCTAGCCGGAGTCTATCGCCTTTGAGGTGAAAGTAAATTAGCTATCATTTTGAGAGCTCGGATATTTGTGCCGCTTAGCGTTTCAGGTGTGCGGGGTTGTGGGAGCTTGTTAAAAGCAACAAAAATGCTTTGGAAATGGAATCCATGCCTAGGCTATAAGTGAGTGGTAAAACTTGGCCTGTTTTTTAATGCACACCATACACGCTGTGAGAGGAAATCATACACGTAATTGCTATATATTTGTCTATGCCATCGTTTTCTCGCGGCAGAAACACTGAATTCAGATGCCCAAGTTTTGACAGTTGTCTAGTGATAGTCTTAGATGTTGATGGAAGAAATATTTCTGTAAATGAGAATGACATTGCTCATTATTGGCAATAAAAGTTCAAATAGAACAGTGTTGCACTGCTACACAAGTAGGTATTGGTAGTTGGTGGTTCCATGTTACCTTGAATTCTGTGGAGGTTTGTAACGTTTAGTAATTTTAGCCTGCTTATTATAGATGCACACGAGATTGCAGGTGGCGTTAAAAGCAACAGACCACGTGGTGCGTCTGAAAGCCCCTTGCGAATGATTGACACACTTGTAATATATGTTAATAATTTTTCTCTGCATGGCATTGGCAAGTGCTTCTCATGTTGCATGAAGCAGTCTGAATAGTTGTTCTTGAAGCGGATGCGCGTTGTCGTCATTGCCCTGGGTTGTGCGTCGCCACCAAGCAACTACTTTGAGTGCACCCGCAACAAAGACGTTTTTGGCCTAATGTAGCGCAAATCGCGTGATTGACAGCTTAAAAAGTTACGAAATATTGCTTATCGCTAGGGAATCATTCACCGGACGTTCATTCAGAGTCACTGTGTGCTGTTTTCCGTAAAGCTGTGGCTGGCGACACCAAGATGGCTGGGTGGCGCCATTTTTGTTAGTTAACTGGTGCAATTGGTTTCCTGAGGTTTGGTGTTCACAAAGCAGGTAATTCAGAAAAATTCTCGTCATTGCTGGAGTAGTGTATCTTCCCGCGACTAAGACAAATGCGTTTGGCAAAGGTTTTTTGATGGCTTAATTGTTTCCAGCTTGTTTGGGAAATGTTTCCATTTTCACTGATTGTATAGATTACATTGTTCATCGATTACAATCATTGCTTCTTACATTTTCTTTGCTATAAATTATATGTAATGTTCTCATTTTACACATCGCATGACCCAAGTGCATAAAGTCTTATATTTCAATAAATGTATACTGACGTAATTCATGTCATAAAAGGTTAATGTCTGCCAAGTATTATTTCGACTGACATCGTTTTTGGTACCAAATTATGTAGGTAATCTTAAAGATATTATTGAAATTAAAACATCTCTAACATATTTCGCGTAATTAAAGTTACAAAAATAATTTAAATAACCTAATGAAAGTTGGCAACTAAGTAAGATTAATGGGTTTTTATTTTTATATGCTACAATATCATTAAAATTACACGTGTATGTAGAAAAAAAACTTACTATACTATAGTACCAACAGTGGGATGTTTTGTGGCAGTGAAACTATAGCTAGTGATAGCGCTATATGAACGTTAGCGCTATACTCGTAACATATACTCATCAGATGGATTCCTGATCTTTTCAATTCTCTTTAGACCAATATGCATAAGCAAGGCTTTGCCTAGAGAGCCTAGACAATGCAAGTGCGCACACACATATACGCGTTTAGTATCCCCAAAGCTATAAGTGAACCCTGCTAATCTGTAAATAAGGTTTAATTATGCAGGGATATCCACACAAGTTTAGCGCACTTCAAAGGCACGCCGCCAAAGTCCTCACATGTGGCGGCAGGAAACATGTCGGCCCTTATTTCCTAGCGGACAGGCTGTGACCTTTTATTGAAATGTTTTCAGGACATTTATCTATGTCCGTCACACACCTTTGCTAACAACTACATGTAGGCTATGCGCGTAAGGCTGGAAGCTGTAGTCGTACCGCTATTGGGGGGGAAAAAATTCCCAGGCATTGCTCGTAACGTTTTCTCCTGTTTACCCGGAAAGAAAACCCATAATTGATAAATTAGACGAAATTGGTTGTGAAGTCATATTTTGTAGTGATACCGTCCAAACAGTAAGTAAACACCAAGCCCAATTTAATATTTTTATGAGAATAAATTGTGTCAAAATGTAACTAATGCCCGGCGCACACGTGAGTTATTTTACTCAAGTAAAATGACGCATGAGTCAAATTACTCAACGAAAATCCGCCTCACACGTGAGTAAAATGACGCATGCGTCAAATTACTCAACGAAAATCCGCCGCACACGTCAGTAAAATGACTCATGCGTCATTTTACTTGAGTAAAATAACTCACGTGTGCGCCGG